GAGGCGTTGCGGCGGCGGGACCGCTAGATGAGGCTGTGCGCGGCTTGCGGCGCCATTTGCGTGCTGGGTCTGGAGCCGCCGCGATCGGCGCAAGCACGCTTGTGGTCCGGGAGCTGTGGCGCTCCCTGACGGGCGTTCTTCACGCCCTTGGAGCTCACCGCATGTAGACGCGGGCTTCGGCTCTGCCATTAGAGGTTTGCGCGGCTAGGCCGCGGTAGGGCTTGCCATGTTTGTATGCCTGTTGCGAGCAACTCTGAGTGTTGTGTGCTTGTCGTTCCCTCACTGCGCGGCCGAAGGCCCACTGTCGAGCGTCGGCCGCCGAAGGCGGCCGGCGCGAGCCGCTCGGTTAGGAGAAACAAATGAAAAGGAAACCGAACAATGAAGAGAGCTAGCTGCAGAGGAGCACTATATACTAGGCTGAAGAGTGCTGGAGAGGCTAAGGACTAGCTCCTAGGGCCTCTCTCTCTCTCTCTCTCTCTCGCGCGAGCCGCTCGGTTAGGAGAAACAAATCAAAAGGAAACCGAACAATGAAGAGAGCTAGCTGCAGAGGAGCACTATATACTAGGCTGAAGAGTGCTGGAGAGGCTAAGGACTAGCTCCTAGGGCCTCTCTCTCTCTCTCTCTCTCTCTCTCTCTCTCTCTCTCTCTCTCTCTCTCTCTCTCTCTCTCTCTCTCTCTCTCTCTCTCTCTCTCTCTCTCTCTCTCGCGCGAGCCGCTCGGTTAGGAGAAATAAATGAAAAGGAAACCGAACAATGAAGAGAGCTAGCTGCAGAGGAGCACTATATACTAGGCTGAAGAGTGCTGGAGAGGCTAAGGACTAGCTCCTAGGGCCTCTCTCTCTCTCTCTCTCTCTCTCTCTCTCTCTCTCTCTCTCTCTCTCTCTCTCTCTCTCTCTCTCTCTCTCTCTCTCTCTCGCGAGCCGCTCGGTTAGGAGAAACAAATGAAAAGGAAACCGAACAATGAAGAGAGCTAGCTGCAGAGGAGCACTATATACTAGGCTGAAGAGTGCTGGAGAGGCTAAGGACTAGCTCCTAGGGCCTCTCTCTCTCTCTCTCTCTCTCTCTCTCTCTCTCTCTCAAGCAGTCATGTATTGACATGGTTCGCAAGGTACAAGCAAGGAGCTACCACTTGGTCTAAACGTGCAAGCAATCGTGAGTCCAACATAGCGAGACCAGCAAGCTAGGCAAACGAACAACTAGCAAAACACAGAGAACCAGCTCTCCAGATGTTGAAACAGGCCACCACACACTAGGACGAACGAGCCTGCCAGTACCAAGGCCACCAAACCCTGTCCCTACAGTCCTCCTGCTTCTGGATTCCCCCTACTGATCCTGCCTCTCTGTCCACAGTCCCTTTCCCCATACGCAGCTTCCTGCCGTCGTCCGGCTAAACCTCCCCCACTCCCACTCCCTCCCCGCCCTCTAAGCCGTTCTGGCAGGGGCTTGACGCTCCTCGTACTCATCCTCTTGCATTTGCCAGAGGTCCCCCAGCCGGGGGGCCCAGGGGTCTGCCGGCGCCTGTGGGAATGCCGCCTCGGCCGCCCTGTTCGACTTAGATAGGAGTGAAGTCGCCTGGCTGCGCTGAAGCATGACCGACCACCGCTGCCTGTAGTGTGCATTAAGGCGGGCGGCAGTGGTGGTGAGGCGCCCCTGGCGGTATTTCTTCCGTGCCGCATAGTTGGCTAGCATACGGAGGAACTGCTGGGTGTCGGCCGCCAGGGCCCCATAGGTCTCAACTGCCAAACCAAAGAAGCCGACGTATCCAGGACGCCCTACGTAGAGCCGATGTTTTGTCTGCGACGCCTCCTCCGCTGCCCATCCTGGCGGCTTCCGTGCCCTCACATCCCTCCTCTGCAGGACCGGGTCCGTGACTGTCACGTCTGTCGCCCAGGTCTCCCCTGATTCCGGGTCCCGAACGGCGAGGTCCGCTCGCTTACTCGCTACAGGGGGAGAGAAGGCAGTCGTCTCGTGGAAGGTCCTATACCCTGCTTCCTGCGCCATGCGGAGGGCTGCAAAAACCAGGGCGTTGTGGGTGCGCACCGCATCCCCGCCGTCGGCACAACGGAGCAGATGGTTCGGCAGGCTCTTGTCAGCAGTAGAGGAGTTGGATCTCTTGCAGGGGCAAACCTCCGCTACTGGAGAACTGACCAGGGGAGATTGAGAGGTCAGCCCTCGTTGGCACTGCATGGAGCCAGTCACCTGCTCCCACTCCTTTCAAGCTAATTAGCCGAATTGCATGGCCCCTGTCCACCCCCGGCCTATCTGTGACCGTATCTGCGAGCAGCTCTTCCGCCCGCATGTGGTTAATGGCCTTAGACAGGCCCAGCTGCAGGTTGCCCATGCCTTTCGGGTTCTCCCTATAGCTGCGGAGGACTGCTGCAGCCTGCGCTGGGAGCCTGGCCTCAAGCGGTGCCAGCGGGTTGGCCCGGGGGGGCGGTGGGGCCCATGTCGGGGAGAGGAGATTCCCGGCCTTGTGAAGAAGGTAATCTGGTGGCAGGTTCAGCTGCTGCAGGAGAAGGTGCGCCGCTGCAGTTGAGGCTAGGTACGCTGTTGGGGCTTCGGATATGGGGTCAATGATTCCCAAACCTCCTAGCCGCACCGGGAGCGTGGCCTGGCGCCACAACAGACTCTGCTCCAGCTCACTTGGCGGGATCCGAAGCTTTGACGCCGCGAGCCCGGCTCCTACCAGTGCCTCGCTCCACTCCTGCCACTCCGTACGGGCCAGTGCATCCGCTGGTGTTGTGCGTAAGAGGTACGAGATGCGGCGGGAGATGCTCCGAGATAGCATGAGTAAGGCGTGCTGCGGGTTGAGTTGGGCGACGAGATGTAGCGGCGCCGCCACCTCCGCTAGCGTCCCGCGGACCTGGTCGGTGCAGAAGGCGTCGCCGCCAACCGGGCTGCCCAACACCTTCAAGCCGCCTGGGTGGACAGGAAGACCGTGTGGCAGACCATCCCCTCCTTCCTCCCACAAAGCCCACCACGCCGCGGACTTGGTAAGGTTGCAACGTAATCCGCATGAAGCCAGCTCCGTGACTACTGTGTTAAAAGCCACGCACGCCACCTCGCGAGGCCCGACGATGGTGATGTCGTCGACATACGCTACTATTGCCACCTCCGGTATGCTCGTGGCCACGCTGAGTAGTATCGGCTGGATTGCTGCCGCAAAAAGGAGAGGCCCCAGCGGATCCCCTTGGCGGACACCTCTGGAGCTTACGATGTGCTCCACTTCCAGACGGGGGTCCACAAGAAGCCGCGAGGAGCCATCGTAGAGGTTCCTGACAAGCGGGAGCAGCGTGTTGAAAGTAGACCACTGGAGGGCGGAGAGGAATGACGCGCGTTCTACACTGTTAAATGCGTTTTCCACATCGAGCTGTAGAGCTACGCGGGTCTCGTCATCCTTAAGGAGAGAACGAACCGCGTGGATAATACACTCCGCTCCCCCAGGAACCGCCACGCCGAACTGTACGGGTAGGAAAAATTCCCGGATTTTCGGGCCTAAGCTGTGCAGCGCCGCTTTAGCCACCACGCGGAGCAACGCCTCGCCTATTGCGATTGGTCTAACTCCTCCCCCAGGCTTTTCCAAGGCTATGAGCCGAGAGGGGAGTAGGAGGTCGCGGACTGATTGACTCTGGAAAGAGCCGGCGAGGCGATTTACCACGTTCGTCAGCAACAGGAGGATCTCCTCGTTCGCTAGGGCTGGGTCTCGTAGGTGTTCAAAACAGCTGCCTGAGGGCCCTGCCCCTACCCCATTCGGGCATTTCGCGAGGATTTCGCGCAGAGCCTCGAGTGGGATACGGAGCTCAGAGTCAGTGATCCCGGTAACCCATGCTGGTGTTGGGGCGCTTGACGGTGGGTGTTTCGCCCGTAGGGCAGCCAGGGTCGCAGAGCTTGGGTCGGCGAGGGGGCTTGTGCGTAACGCCGCAACCGCCTTCGAAATGTTACCTTTTTTAACCAAACCCTCCGCTCTTGCGCAAACCCCTTCGTCATCGTCTTGATGCCTTAGCGGACCCCCCGTGTCGGGGATAGTGCAGGCTGCCTCGAACAACCCATCCCACTCTCCCAGCTGGAACTGATGTAACCGAGCCTCAATCGCTGCCCACCGACTTCCAGTGACAGGCTCTGGTGGGGGGCGAAGTGTCAGCCTCGGGAGGTATTGTAGGACCGCCCAAGCACCTGGGCATTCTGGGTTCGTCGACAGCCGCAGGAGAGGTGCGAGGAGACACAAACAGAATTTGTCCAGCACTTGGGGTGGTAAGCGTCTGACTAGGAAGGGTTGGTCCATCCGTTGAAGGAGATCCATAGTCCACGTGCCCGCCATTTGCCAGATGGCGTCATCCTCTGCCAGGGTGGCCGGCGATTTCACTTCGTTGGTTACCGTGGGAGCTGGCACAGATACTCCTTCAGCCTGGGATGTCGCCCTGGCCACTCCCTCTCCCGTCCCTTGCACTCGATTCCGGCCTCTTCCCAAATCCTCCTCGTTAACCAGAGACACCTCTTCGGACTCCAGGCCCGCCTCCTCTCCACACATAAACTCAGGGTCCCCCATGTCCTCAGCAGGCTCAGCGTCGACCCCATTGGCTGGGGCTTCCAAAACCTCTGGGCGGTCGTGGCGTTCCCGCCAAGGGCCTGTTCGTGCCTGGATCTCCGCTCCCCCCAAGCGAGCAACACCCCCGCGCCTTCCCCCTCGCCTCCCGCGATCCATACCGCGGAAACCCCGGTTCGCCGCCAGTGCTGGCTGAGGCGTCGCCGCTAGTCCCGCTCTCCCCGCCGGCATCCATGACGTTCTGCCTCCCCTTGGTGGGCCCCACGTGACAGCACCCAAACGAGCTGAGCGACGAGTGGCGACGGCCGCCGCAGTTGGAGCTACTGGGCTTGACGGTGAGTGCGTGTGTGCTCCGCTGTCCTGGTTTGGCGCCGGCTGCTCTGCCACACGGGTTGCTGTTGCCTCTGTTGTCGCCTCATTGAGCCCAGAAACCCCCCGTGCCTCTTGCGTGTGCGCAGATGACGACCGATGCACTCGCTCTGATGGCAGTTGCCCTTGCAGAAGCCAGCCCAGGAGGGGTCCCGTGGAGCCAGGTCCCAGCCCTGCTCCGAGCCGTCTCGGCGCTGGCTGGGCCCGCGGCTTCCTCGTCGACATCACTCGTGCAGCGCCGGAGGCGGCGCCGTTCGGGGGCCTCGGAGTCTCTCCCTCAGCCTGGACGTGCTCCTGCCTCCTTGAGGCCGCGGCAGCAGCAGGCATTCCGACGTTCGCAGCGGCAGTCGTCGCGCCTTCCGCCGTTGGGGCGTCGCCTCGCACCCCAGTCGCAGCAGACACCGCCGCCGCCAGCACGGTCGGCGACACCGGCGCCGGTGACGCGGATAGCGCCGCCTCCGCAGTCTGTTCCGGACTCGCGCCCAGCCTCGTCCCCTCAGCCTCCGCCTGTGCAGCCCGCGGGGTGGCAGAGGGCAAAACTGAGCCGGCGTCAAAGGCAGCGGCAGAGGCGCCAGCAGACACCAGGACCGCAGGCACTCCAGCAGCCGCGACTCCAGACTCCTCACCAGCCGCCACCGCGGGCGGCGCAGCCGCCTCCAGCTCAATCTCCGCTCCGTCGGTTTCCTTTGCCCCTCCATCCACAGCAGCATCGCTCCTCGGTGAACCATGTTCCTCCGTCCCCTCCTCCGCCCGCTCAGGTCCCTCAGTCTGTGTCGGGCCCCTCGTCATTCCATCAGTACTCATTCCAAGGCCCCCCTGTGCAGCACCCATGGGTTCCAGTAACGCCTCCTGCCCCGCCGCCCCCTCAAGCCGTGCTTCCTGGTCAGCCTCCAACTCTCGTCGAGCAGCGCGTGATGCACGTGGGGGCTTGCTTGACGCTCTTGTCGTACGTGCTAGACCAGCTTCACGTGACTCTGGTGCAGCAGGGGGTGCAGATCGGGGCAATGCAGCCAGCGGAGCAGACGGAGGCAGTGGCGGCAGCGGAGGAGTTGCAGCATTACCTCCCGCTGATTGGCTTTGTGCCGGGCTCCCCCGGGGCTGCCCTCGGGCCCGGCCCTGGAGCTTTGGCACGGCTTGCCGAGTCTGCCCAGGAGGACCCTCTCGACCTTGTAGCCGCTGCCGCGTCCGTCCTACGCTGGTTGGACGGGCGGCTTTGCTGGATCCTGGTTGAGTAGCTGGTGCCTTCCCTTTACCGGCCGTTTGAGAGGCAGGCCTGGCTTTGGGCTTCCCCATGGCGGTGTAGTCACGCCCGGGGGTGTTGCTGTTGTTGTAGAATGCTACCCCAGCATGTTGTACCTCTTGCTGCTATAGTCCTTGTCAGTCCCTATTCCTTGTCTCCCCTCACGCGCGGCCGAAGGCCGCGCTGGCGAGCGGCGGCCGCCGAAGGCGGCCGGCGCGAGCCGCCGGTTTTGGGGAGTAAACTGAACTCACCAGTGAAGAATGAGCTCAAAAGGGTGCATCTAAGGACTATATACTATCTCTCTCTCTCTCTCTCTCTCTCTCTCTCGCTCTCTCTCTCTCTCTCTCTCTCGCTCTCTCTCTCTCTCTCTCTCTCTCTCTCTCTCTCTCTCTCTCTCTCTCTCTCTCTCTCTCTCTCTCTCGCTCTAAGCCGCTCGGTTAGGAGAGAAACCCAACCGGTTTTGGGGAGTAAACTGAACTCACCAGTGAAGAATGAGCTCAAAAGGGTGCATCTAAGGACTATATACTATATCTCTCTCTCTCTCTCTCTCTAATGGTCCGTATATTGATAAGCCAGAAGGGTACACACATGCAGTGAGAGACAGCCGGTACTAACACGCAAGGTAACCTAGACTATCCAACCCCACTAAGTCACCTAGAGCTCAAGAAGAGGCTCTAGGACGGTAAAACAGTCCCCAAGGTACAATTCCTGCCCTATCCCTCCTACAGGCGGGTTCTCTGCAGCCGCCGCCTCTCCTAACTTGATCATGAGACCCACGGATTGGGCCCTCTGCAGTGCAACCGACCACCTCTGCCTGAACTGGTGCAGAAACTTCGCGGCATGATAGGATTTGGAGTCGGCGTTGAAGTATCGCCGAGCCGCCGTGTCCGCAAGGAGTTTCAGGAACACAGGGACCTCCGCACAAGGGCAGCCATAGGTCTCTACGGCGAGGGGGAAGAAGCCCACTGTCTCTGGCAGGTTTTCATAGTGCTTGATCTTTTTATCCGCTTGCTCCCTGGCCGCCCATCCCCTTCCTTTCCTAGCCTCCGGGTCCCTGGTACTAATAGGGTCCGTTACCGTCACATCACACACCCAAACCGCCCCACTGCTCTTGTCCGTCATGGTAAAGTCCGCGGTCTGCTCCTCTATGGGGCAGTACACGTTTGTTTCTCTGTGTACGATGAACCCCGCGTCTTGTGCCATGCTGATGCAAGCGTCGCGGAGCTCATTATGAGTATTCGTACGGTGTTTCCCTGTGCCGCAGCGGAAGAGGTGGTTGGGGAGGCGCGGGTCTGTGATAGCGGTGTGGTCAGTACAGTCACAGTTCTTCGGAGTGGAGAAAGGGAGGCCCAGCCGGAAGCGCACGGCGTTGCTGAAGTGTACCGGCCCGATGCGCCGAGAAGAAGCTACTGGTACCGCCGTCAGCCAGTCTCCTGTGCCGTAGCCAGTCAGTGAGAACATTCTCTGCGTGTGCCCAGACAGAGGATTCAGTCTCATTCGCCTTGTCTCTTGGACCTGAACCGCGTACCGACTCCCCTGCACTTTGAGGGCCAGCGTGTGCTGAAGCTTGATGTCTGACCTAGAGAGCCGTTCCTGGTCAATGACGTCGCGTGCATCTGTGGGCAGGGCAGTCTCGCACTCTGTGAGCCAGGCATGGAGCGGTGTGGTGACGTCCCGGGTCAGAATCATGTGGCTGTGTGCTCGGGTCAGTGCTGTGTCTGGTGCTAGCGTCAGGGAGGAAAAGAAGAGCGCGGCTTGTGTGAAACTGGCTACGAAGCCGTAGACCCCTTCCACGAGCGGGTCCGTCAGTCCTAAGCCACCCAGGGACGATGGGAGCGAAGCCTGCGCCCATACTCTCGACTGCTCCGTGCTACACGTCGGGACTTTAATCCCGCAGGATGTCAGGAGCGCAGCTAGTAGGTCCCGCCCCCACTGCGCCCAGGTGTCTCGTGGCAGGAGGTTCAGTGGCGTGGTCCTAGTGAGGTATGCGGCGCGTCTAGAAATGCAGCGGGTCAGTAGCAGGGAGGCTACTTGGGGGTCGGCGCGTTCTAACAGTGGCAGCGGCTTCGCCATTTCCTCCAGCTGCCCTGCCAGGAACTTGGCCGCACCCGCCGCTGGCCCCAGGAAGCTACCTAGAAGGCGTACCCCGTCCTGGGATAGCGGGACTCCTGGCGGTAGCTGGATCTCCTCGTCGCCTCTCGTGCTCCATGCCGCACATTTCTGCGGATTGTGTGTAAGCCCCAGCTGCGCTAACTTGCTCGTGAAGAAATTGAATGCTGCGACAGTGTCTGCGTTGTCCCCCAAAAACGTCACGTCGTCTGCATACGCTAAACAGAGAACGTGGGGGTGGGCATCTGCAGTTTCGCGAAGTGCTGGGTGGATCCCTGCTGCGAACAGTAGAGGACCGAGAGGGTCTCCTTGTCTCACCCCGCGTTCACTGTTCAGTGGGTGGCTGGCGAAATTCGAATCAAGGTACAGCTTCGACGGGTTACCGTACGTTAGCCGCACTAGAGGGAGCAGTGACGAAAGGTTGCTGTCGCAAATCCCGTTGATGATTGCTTGTCGCGAAATGCTGTTAAAAGCATTCGAAATGTCTGTCTGTAACACCACGCAGCGGTCCCTCGAGTCAACGAAGGCACGTGCAACGTGGATGTTCGCTTCGGCCCCCCCAGGTACCGCCACCCCGTACTGTAGAGGCAGGAAATGGTCACGTGCAGCTTCCCCAATTGCGGTCAGAGCAGCCTTGCCTGCGAGGCGCGTCAGGCATTCGCCAATTGCAATTGGCCGAACCCCCCCGCCTGGCTTGGACAGCGCTATTAGGCGCGACGCCGTCAGCAGGTCTGCCACTGGCTCGGGTAGTTTGCCTGCCAGGATGGTGTTCACTAGGGCATGTAGGTGGGTGCAGACCGATGCGTTGGTTGCCGATGCGTCGCGAAGGTGTTCGAAGGCGGTTCCGGACGGTCCGGTCCCCACACCATTTTCGCACCGACCCAGAAGCTTGGCGAAATCGGCTTGGCTGATTTGCAGGTTCGGGCCTGGTGCCGTTGGCCAGCTCAGCTGCTCGTCATCGGCTCGGGGGTGTTTCGCGCGGAGTTCTTCCAAAACTGCTGGGCCAGGTGGGCAGACTGGGGTTGACTCGAGGGCCAGTACGGCTCGGCGGAGGCTTCCTCGCTTGGCCAGGCCTTCCGCCCTGCTGAGAACTCCCGTCTCGTCTGGCTGGTGACGTGGAGGCGGTGGGGTATTGTTGGCTTCGATCGTGTCAGAGTACAGCTGCCCCCATTCGCCACGCTGGAAAGCTCTGAGACGGGCTTTGACTTCGGGCCACTTCGGTCTTCTTGGCGACGGTTGGCGAAGTGTGAGCCGAGGGAGAAACAGCAGCAGTCGCCAGCCTGCGACTGAGTCAGGGTTTCGCGCGAGGTGTAGGAGCGGGGTGAGTAACACCAGCGAAAATAGCTGACACAAATTGGGCGGTAATCGGCGCGACAGGGATGGCTGACGACTGTCGCAAAGTGCCGCCAAGTCCCAGTCATCGATGGCTGCGAACAGGTCTGATCGTTTCGCCAATTCCCCTGGCGAGAAGTAGCGGGGGAAATGTGCTTGGTTTGCGGACGCGCTGCGAGAGCGCGCTGCCTGATGTCTCTGCTCGCGCCTTTGTGCGTTGCTCTGTCCAGGATTTGGGATTGTGGCCGTCCGATTGATCTGTTGCCTGCCTCCTTCCTCATCCGCCTCATGCTCACCAGCTCGCCTCCCAGTCCCCAGCCTCTCTCCTGCATCATCTGTTTCCTCCTCGTCGTCTTCACTTTGTGGGAGCGGCTCCTCCCTATAAGAAGGGTCCTGTCGTTCCTCCTCCTCATCAGTTCTCTCCAGATTCGTTAAAGCCTGTCTCCCTGCCGCTTGGAAGCCATTCTCCGGTCCACCCCCTGCGCCGCTAGCCGTCACTCTCCCTCTGCCTCGCCCTCCTCGGCCTCGCGATGGTGATTGCCGGGCCGACCGACTATTCGCCAATGCACGTTGGCGCTGCGTCGGTTGCGTTCGGAAAGCCACCGCCTGCCTCCGGAACGGGGACCATGCCGACGGGCTCCCCAACGCTGCCTGTTCCGAGGCTCGTGACAGTAGACGATGAAATCCTTCCTCGCCCCGCACCGTCGTTTCAAGAGGCCTTGGCGTCTCTTCCTGTCGCGCCGCCTGTTCCCCTCGCGGCGGCGTTTGATGTATCTGCTCCGTCAGTCGTTCCTCGAGCTGCCGACCCTGCTGTTCCGTCAGCGGCCGCCGCGCGGGCGGTTGTTGCTGGCGGCGTGACTGACCAGCCGGAGGGGTCCGCCACCACTGACGTCCAAGGCCAGCCGGCGCTTCCCGCCTCTCCGGCTCCCCCGTCTGCGCCGCCTCCGACGCTGGCGCCTCCTCTGCCTGTGCAGGCGGGATCTGCTCCTGCGCTAGCCATGGCTGTTCCCTCTGCGCCTCCCGCGATTGCGCCCTCTGCACCGTCTGCGGGGGCTCCTCTCGTGCCGCCTGCTGATGCTCCCGTTGCCCAGCCGGGTGTTGCTCTGCCTGCTCCGCCCGAGGCGGGTCTGTCTGCGCCGTCTGTGGCCGTTCCTGGTGCGCCACAGGTGGCGAATCCCTCTGCGCCGACCGCTCGGCGTCCGCAGTCTCCTGGCCATCGTCAGCAGCGGCCGCAGTCCCCAGCGCGTCAGGACGTACGCGCGACGTCCCGGCGCCGCCACAATTCTCCGCGGCGCCGCGGTTCTCGGGCGAATTGGGCGGCGCAACGCGACGACCGAGGCGGCTGGTGGGGGCCGCGTCAGCGGGATGGCGGCTGGGGGTCTGATCAGCCGGTGACGATGGCTGATCTGCAGCGCGCGGTGTCTGCTGCTGTGCGCGAGGAGCGGAACGGGCAGACGAGCCAGAGCAACTCCCCGCGTGTTGCTCAGACCCCCGCGGCACCTCCTCCAGCAGCACCTCCTGCCCTGGCAGCCCCTCGTCCTCCTGCAAACGTTC